TAGCCAAAAGGAAGCCCTGGGATATAGAGAGAGAAGCCTTTTGCTTGTCTGCCGCTTTGGTTTTTCCCCACCAGTCGCCTGGGCTCTGCCACATTGTAGTCCCCAAATAACACACAAGACGCTGTATTATGAAGCTGTTGGCCTTGTTTGTTTCTTACTAGCTAGCTAGGACTTAAGTATTTATCCCATAATTGTTAATCTAAGTATTTCTCTTACCGGAGAAAAGTTCCAGATATCTTACTTCTCTGACTGGCTACATAGTGACTCCCTGTGTTTCTCCTTCCCAGAGTACTCCTCGACTCCTAGTCCCACCTATCTTGCTTCCCTATTGGCCAACAGTGCTTTATTGACATATACACAGGATTTCCCCATCAAGATGAAGGTCTGTCTTCTATTTTCTGGGCTCTGTTACTTGTCTGATGTGGCCAACAAATTACCTTATTTGGTTTGAGTGCCATTCACATGTCTGTGCTACACACTGCTCTTTGGAATGTGGCAAATAGCTGAGAATCCTTGGGAGGTGACAGTCACTAGCTATGGGATTCAATAACAAATCATTCTAACTTGTTGGTTTGATGGTGATAGTTGAATGGCATTACTTCTAAATTAGAATATCAAAGACATTAAAATATAAGTATATTTTAAGGCTAGGATAATACTCATGAGAAACTAGGGTATAAACTCTCTCACAGCATTCTTACAGATGGCATGAAAAATGTACTTGACCTTAAGGTAAATTTTTTTTCCAAGTCAGTGATTGGTTAATGGATAATTAGATTGATTAAGCCTATATATATGCACAGAATGCCTCTACTAAATATTCATCCATCTAGTTTTAAAAATATAACCCTAAGTGGCTTTAGATTAGTTCCTTTATCCTGTTTGACATGGCAGATAAATCATAAAATGCTCCTGATAGTTACAGGCATTTTGTAATCACCCCCAAGCAATTCCCTGTAATGCTACTGTTATTTTATGTCATTGCTGAACCCAGTTCTTATTTTTGGTCTACTACCTGAAGAATTCTAATCTCTCCTGTCATAAAAAAATAATAAGACTTTGGTGATTTCTTAGTAATTTTCCTCAAGGATATTTCCCTAGGTTGTATCATGTAGAAAAGTAATTATGACGCATATTGTTTAATTGTAAATCCATGTTTTGTGTTAAAATTATGACTTGAAAAGGGAGTTAAAATAAAGAAAACAGTAATCCCTTCTCTGGGGAAGTAGCAAAGCTATGTTGATTTAAGATCTAAATGGTTTTTGTTTCTGACTGTTTCTGTTCCAGCTGCCTAGTTAAGGAATATATATAAAACTGTCCCAAACTCCGTTGGTTCTTTTCTATTCACAATGACGCAATTTTATTTCTAGGGTGGGAGGATGAAGCCTCCAATGGAGGAGACACAATGACACCTTGGTTGTAATCAACAAAATATAAAGGAAGGGGGGGAAGGAAAGAAAGAGGGAGGAAGGGAGGGAGGAAAGGAAAGGGAAGGGAAGGGAAGGGGAGGGGAGGGGAGGCGAGGAGAGGGGAGGAGAGGAGAGGAGAGGAGAGGGGAGGAGAGGAGAGGAGAGGAGAGGAGAGGAGAGGAAAGGAAAGGAAAGGAAAGGGGGCAAACCTCTTCACAGTTGCCACTAAGAAAAACCACATGATCTCAAGGGGAAGGTGGCTATAATGAATATTCCACTTTAACACTCAGAACCAATAGTCACCTGCTCTTCTCTACTATGCGACAGTTAAGGCCATCAATGCCTTCTAAACTCACAGGGGAAAATTCTGGGGGGGGGGAATAAGATGACGGCATTTCAAATATATGAAAGAAAATGAACAAGAATGTAAATTTGGTTCTATCCGCAGTATATTTGCAGGAAAAAAAAGCATCACTCAAGGCTTGTCAATGCCAAAGCTCTTTTTTAAAATATGCTTCTTTGTGGTCCTACAATATGGTTCCATATACATTATATTCATGCTGTAGGAGAAAATACAAGAAGATAAAGCTATTCTGTAAAAAGATGCACATACTTATGCAGTCACTGACTTATAATGATCCAGCTTATTGATGCTTTGTAGATGATCTTACAAGTTTTGCTCTTCTCCCAGGATATCCATCTGCAGCAAGACACTCCCTTGTAATGCTGAGCAATGACAGCAACCTGTGTTGTAAAGACGGATAGCCCACACTCTCAGTATACTGTGGTGCTGAGCAGCGAGGTTCTCTAGGTTAAAAGTAACAAGTACATTCCTGAATTACTATATTTTCAACCTATGGAACATTTCCTGAGATGAAACAGAGCACCAAAAATATTTCACGGGTTTTCATTTGGCATAGAATACCTTCTTGGAAGCCTCCCTAGATTCTTGAGGGCAGAGTGCAATGATTAAAACACTCTCTGAGAAAGTTATCTTCAGAAGGGGGCAAATAAGCTTAACCATTAAATCCAGAAAGTAGAGTTAACTCAATGAAAGAACCACATCTTTCAGATGGGAAAATATGTTTGTGTCCTGTTGCTTCTTGAAATTTTAAACAGGAAAAAAAAACAACTAGAACATGCAGGAAACCTATCTAAACCTAGTCAGTCATCAACTCCGTAAACAGACTTAGCCTTGTGATTATTTTGTTGCTAAAACTGTCACAAAACTTTTGGGGAAGTAGATTGTGAATAAAAATTAAGCAAAAATTTTCATTAAACAATGAAGCTTCTTCCTTTGGGGGCAATTATTAAGGTCTGTACGAAGTGTGTCGTTATAAAATATTACTAGAGGAAACGCAGAGTAGCACATTAGTCAGTAGAGGGACCTCTGAAGTAGCCCCCAAAATCATGAATGTATTTATCTTTTGCCTCAGTAATCTCAAATCTAATACTGTATTTGCGCAGAAGCAAAGTTAAGACTATAGCTGGCAGCCTAAGTTCAAGCCCAGAGCCCACATAAAAGTGGAAGAAGAGATCAAGTTCATGATGAATAATAACCTATCAACTTCTGCACACATGCAGTGGCATGCATGGCCACACATACATATCATGAACACACACAAGAAAAAACTAAAATAATGTCATTTGGCAATAGTCAATAGCTATGTAAAATGTAACAAGTCCACATGACCTAATAAAATTCAGTCTTTAGAAGTTGACCTATATTTCCATCCAAGATAATACAAAAAGGCATGTTTTCCTATTTGAATCAACAGGAGTAAAAATAAATAAGGCAAATGTCTGACTAAACAACAGATGCCAGGAAACAAATACGCAGAGAGTCTAAAACTGATTTAGCTTGTTGGCTTGGTCAGCCAATGAATATGGGAAAATTATTCCAGGTAGTTTGAATCTGGAATGTCCTCAAATGTTTTGTGTTAGAAGCTTAGTCCCAGAGCTGGTGCTATGGGGAGGTAAAACAACCTTTAGAAGGTAACACATAGAGGGAAGTCTTCATGATCTAGAGGGATGGGATATAGGGTGACTATAGGTCTCAAGTCTCTTCCCCTGTCTGTTTCACTTCCCAGTCACAGGGGAAGCCATTTAACTTGACCGGGGCACTTTGCCTCCCTGACACATGCCCCCAAAGAATTGTGTGTCTATCCAGTAATGGAATGGGCAGATCAAGGATACAATTGTAAGGCGGGGCAAAGCATGGCTTAGCATCAGTTAATTTTCTCATGTATGTACTTTAATAGAAATGAAAAGCTGACACGTAAAAACACCTAGAATAGTTGCTAGTATCAGAGTCCAGCATAGGCACAGGGAAAAACCTGACTGCTTCCTGTGGCACTGCAAACCACATGATTGACAACAGAAGACCGAAGAATGACTCAGTACTGAGGAAACGCCAAGTCCTAAATATAATGCTGTTCTAGACCTGCCTGAAGAATCTTAAAATTACATTCACCATTGAGTAAAGTTTACAATGTAATGCTTGATTTCTGAGCAAAAGTTAGAAGAAGAAAAAAAAAAGCAAAAGAACAAGAAAAGGCACTACGAACACACACACAAAAGTTTAAGTTTCCCTAGCTAAACACTGATTCTAAAACTAGCAACAGACTTTAAAGCAGATATTCTAAGCAAAGATTCCATACGTCCACAGTATTCAAACAAAGACATGGAAAACATGTTTAAAGATTTAAAAGTCACTCAGGGGTGAACCCTAAAGCAACAGCAAAGTACACTGGACATAACTAGCCAGTGATTAAATGCTGCAGAAGAAATATTTCTTAACTTACATCTACACGTGAAAACCATCCAGAATGAAATACTAAGATAAAGATGAATCCAAAGGCACAGACTTGAATCAATGAGCTACGGGATGACGTCGTATGATCCAATATAACTATGAGAGGAATTACTGAGGCAAACCGAGAGGGTAAGAATGGGGATAGGCATGGCTAAGCACTTGAGCTGAACTCAAGAAATCCAGTGACAGAGAGGGAGGCTGGATGACCGAAGGGATTAAGACTGGGCTGGTTTAACCCCCAGAAACAGCTGACCTGACAGGGGTTAGCTCTTGAACCCCAGACTGATGCCTGGGAATCCGGCATGGGACTGATCAAGACCCCCCCCCTGAATGTGGGTGTCAGTGAGGAGGCCTAGGTAATCTATTGAGCCTTGGGGAGTAGATTGTGGGGAGCCACCCCCACATTCTCCGTTACAAGATGGCGCCGACATTCATTGTCAGTTGGAGTAAACAACCTTGGTGCGCACGTGCCTGCTACTTTTCTATCCCTTACTCTCTGCCTCTCCCGTGGCATCATATGGGCTGACAAGCAGGAGCCAGTCAGGAGATGACACGTCCGAGGCGGGGACTGCTGAGCTATATAAGGGTTGGGCTTTTCGCTCCCCGGGTCTCCACTCTGTAAGCTTATGCTCTCCCTCTCAAGACGCATTAAAGCTGTTCTGCAGAAGGATCCTAAGTGTGCCGCGTCGTTCTTGCTGGCGAGACGGTAGCGCGGGACATCTGGTGCCGAAACCCGGGAACTCAGACCTCATCATCGTCAGCACCATCGGAGACCCCTTGGATTCAAGGAGGATTCAGAACTGCAGGTAACTACGCTCGGAGAGGTATGCTATTCTGGGACTTTGGACTGGAGCCTGTGTTACAATCGTTACATCGTTACTTTTGTTTCATTCGAGCCGCAGGTGTTTATTTTTATCATGGCTCCTCTCAATCCCTCTAGCATGTCAGAAACCAAGCGTAGTGTAGTGAGAGGTTAGGTGCACGTAAAAAGAAACCGGTTGTAACTAAGAAAGATAACCCCCCCCGGTAAATTTAAGGATAAGGGGGAGCCCTTACAGTCCTCAAGAGGGACATTAGAAGATAAACAAAAAAGGGGAGAAGGATTATACCCTTTTCAGGAACTGGAAGCTTGCACAAATGCAAGTCACACATACTACAGGCCTGCCCTACAATCCTCAGGGACAAGGCATCGTGGAGCGAGCACATCGCACACTTAAGTCTTACCTAATAAAACAAAAAGGCGGAATTATGAAGGAGTTGCCCCCAACACCAAGAGTGGCTATTGCCATGGCATTGTTTACTATGAATTTTTAAAAATCTGGATGATAAGGGTCAAAATGCAGCAACAAGGCATTGCTCGGATCCGCAAAGACCCAAAGAATTTGTAAAATGGAAAGATGTGCTAACTAATGAATGGAAAGGCCCGGATCCTATTCTAATAAGATCCAGGGGAGCTGTTTGTGTTTTTCCACAGAATGAAGAAAATCCCTTTTGGGTCCCAGAACGACTCACCAGAACCATTATGGAGCAAAAGGAGGGAGAGACATATTCCCGTGACAAAGAGGAACAACTTGACATTGATGGCACTAATTGCAATGAATTGGACCTATGAATTTGAGCAGATGCTTCGCGAATTGAGGGTCGCCATTGTTCAGATTAATTCTACCCGCCTTGACCTGTCCTTCATGGAGGGATTGTCTTCGTGGATTTCTTCAGCTGTTTAATATTTCAAAGAATGGGTGAGGGTGGGATTGTTTGGAGCAGTCCTATGCTGCGGAATAGTGTTTATTCTCTGGCTGGTCTGCAAGCTCAGAACCCAAAACAAAAGAGATAAGGTGGTCATAGCACAAGCACTGACTGCGCTCAAGCAAGGGGCGTCAACCGATATCTGGTTGACTATGCTTAAGCAATAGGCTGCTGACTGAACAGCTCCTGCACACCCGGAACTTAGGTTCATTGCACAGGGTAGAGTGTTTAGTCTGGCCTCCCAAGAGGGGTGTTGAGCAAAGGCATCGCACAGAGAGATATTTTCCTCTGAGAGACATGTTGTCCTGCATAAGGGTTACCTGCTGTATTTTTTCCCTTTTCCCAAAAAAAGGCAGAGGACAGGTCGGAAGCATCCCGGATTTTGATGAATCTAGGGATAGGTTTCGTACACGTCTCACTAATTTTGTTCTTTGGGAAGTTCAACCACTGTCTCTACCCTCTTATGTCCTGGGAGAGCCTGTTTGCTATTAAAACAAAAAGGGGGGGAGATGTGGGGAGCCACCCCCACATTCTCCGTTACAAGATGGCGCCGACATTCATTGTCAGTTGGAGTAAACAACCTTGGTGCGCACGTGCCTGCTACTTTTCTATCCCTTACTCTCTGCCTCTCCCCTGGCGTCATATGGGCTGACAAGCAGGAGCCAGTCAGGAGATGACACGTCCGAGGCGGGGACTGCTGAGCTATATAAGGGTTGGGCTTTTCGCTCCCCGGGTCTCCATTCTGTAAGCTTATGCTCTCCCTCTCAAGACGCATTAAAGCTGTTCTGCAGAAGGATCCTAAGTGTGCCGCGTCGTTCTTGCTGGCGAGACGGTAGCGCGGGACAGTAGATCAGTATTTATTCCAGGTATACAAATGGACTTCAGACTCCCATCCAACAATGAGAGATGCACTCTCACCTTGAACTCTTGGGGCCCTGGATGAAATGACAGACTATGGACATCCCCGTGGAGGGCCTCACCCTCCCTAGGGAAATGAGGGGATATTGGAGGGGGGTTGGTGGGAAGGCATGAGAGGAGGGGAAGGAAAGGGAGAGGGACCTGGAATTGACATGTGAAGCCACTTTGTTTCTAATTTAAATTTAAATTTAAAAATAAAAAATATAAAAAAAGAATGGGGGTAGGAATGGAAGAGATCTTGAAGAAATACCTTCCTAAATCTGTAATGAAAACTTCCAACCTACAAAATGTCCTAAATAAGGACACATGAGAAAACAACAAAGAAAATCCTAATAAAAAATCAAGAAGACCTTAAAGCACATAAGAATATATAAAAATGAATGCATCTCTATTGAGAGATTTTAGTGCTAGCTCAATGACTGGTAGGAAATTATACCATAATAATTAAGATTGTATATTATTTACTATCTATTTTCAACCATTTTGACCAGTTATACAACCCTTCATCCAACAACAGAATGCACATTCATTTTAAGTGGTCACAAAATTTTGCCAAGTTGAATAAAACACCTCTCATATACTTAAAAAGACTTAAATCACAATCTTTTTCTAAACACAATGCAATTAGCTTGAGAATCAATAATAGAGCAGTGTTAGGTGAATTTCTAAACATTTAGTAACCAAATCACACATATCAAATTAACCTATTGATCTAGATCCTTGGGGGGATCATCCAGAATCTCTCTGTCCTGCATTACTCCATGACAAAACCATAAAAACATTGTAAGGAAATAAAGCTACATTCCTACATAGTTCGTGAATATACATGCCAGGATTTTAAGCAAGGTTTTTCCAAGTAAAATCCACCAAAATATTTGAAAAGGCTTTTTATTGTATCAAGCAGAGTTTTAAAATGTCCTTAAAAATCTCATCAGCTACTGTGTTACATCCATATCCTATGTAATCTCTCCTGCCTGAGTGTCAAGAACACTTTAAATTAATTGACCAATCAAAGTGTGGATGAGGTGGTGGTGACCTGGAATTCTTCACATTAGTAGTAGAAAATAATGCAAATGTGAAAACAGGCTTGCAATTCCTTACATGAGTAAATATGCACCAGACATAAAACCAGGCTGTTTAACTCTCAGATGTTTACTGGAGAAAGGGTTGCTCTTTCCCAAGCAGGAGATGTACCCCAGTGTCGACACAGCTCTATTTTTTTAAACAACCAAACACTTACCTGGATCCAAATGCTCATCACAGGTGAATCCGTGAACAAACAAATGGAGGTATAAGGCTATGCCACACAGCAATGAAAGAATGAATGTCTGATACGCAGCACAGCATCCAGGTTTCGAAATATTATGCTAGATGAAAGAAACCAGACCAAACTAAACGCATATGTGGCATAACTCCATTTATATGAAATGTCAGGAATCGCAAGCCAGTATTCATCAACAGAGGACAGATCAGCAGTCCCTGAGAGCGGTAATGAGAGATGAACTCATAAAAGGATGCAGGGGAAAGCGTTTGGGGTGGTGGACATGCTCATCGATGCAGCAGGGGTGATATTTCCGTGTGTATATACATATACATACACTCACCAAATCGTGTATTTATCAAATCCACGAGGTCTCCACCCTACACAAAGAACTATGGCAGTTGAGGAAAGCTGGGAGCCAGAGGAGTGCTCTTCCCCAGGACTGTCTAGTGCCAGTCAACCATGAAAACCTACATGCAAGTAAGATTTTACAGACTGAACAGGTAGTATTTAGGAATATGTGTTATATACATACATTTATGCATGCAATCACCACTAGTGAAAAAAAAGAGGTCATGAATTTGAATGAGAGTGGTGAGTGATATATAGGAAGAGATGAAGGGAGGAAAGAGAATGGAAAGATAACATAATAATCTCAGAATAAAATTAAAACATGTACAGCTTATTGCATGTCAATTATATCTCAATAATTCTCTTTTTATTTTAAAGAAATCAAGCAATGAGGAATATTTTAGGTACTGATCTGGAAGGCATATCAGGAATCTAAAGTAAAACGTTTAAACACGATAACGCAAATATATTACCTGTAGCATGAGAAATAAAATAAATAAAGTACCTCGCTGGGAGACCCCTAAGTCTATAATTTCTTCACCATTTTAATGTTTGATCTCCAAGTACTATTTTAAAATGGTCTAGTCAATAATAAGTGACAATCTCAATGTCCATCAACTCCAGGGTATAGTAGTGAAATGTGGTATAATCTTTCAATGCATGCTCTTTTAGAAGTAAATGTATGAAGTTTTACTACATGCTACAACAAAGATGAACCTTGGATCACTTCACTAAAGTACCTCCAACCCCATAGACTCTAATTCCTTTAATGTGAATGGTCCAAGAGAGATAAATCCACAGAAACAGAGATCAGAGACTTCCAAATGCTTGGGTAAGGGGGTTGTAATAACTGCTAAGTATCTCAAGTTGCCTTTCAGAGAGATAAAAAAAATGTTCTAAAGTTAAGATGTGTTTCTGATTATTACACATCCCTGTTACTGAAAACCATTGACGTGTGTGTTTTTAAATGCTGAATGTTAACCTAACTGGTATGTTCGGCAAAGCTGCTAAAATAATACTTTTATAGTCATTGAACTCGTTCCATTCGCAAGCTCCGTGTATGTTATCCTTTTATTTGACATTGTTTAGCAGCCATACATTGAGGGCAGCCAACACTGAAGTCCCTTTGTGCCAGACACAAATCAATAATCTATTCTACGTCTCTATATCCAGATGCACATGTGCCATGAGCGGTCTCACTGAAAGCCACAACTGGCAGGCACACAAAGGGTCATGGATGTCCATCCATGTTTCCACATGTCCTTTCATAGATGTGTCTACCTCTCTCCGGAGATCCACTTTGTCACAGATTGGCTCTGACCAGTTGGTGAACTCAGCAATTCTTCCCATAGGAGCTCCCACTGACAGGTGTAAAACAAACAAATGCTGAATGAACTTTGGGATGTATAGGGGTCACGTTAGGGTTCATTTAAGTATATTTAAACAGATCAATTAATGAGGCAGGCTTAATATCATGTGACTTAACAATTAGATGTCCAATAGACTTTCCAAGACGGTGTGATGACACAGAAGATTTGAAGCCCTCCATCCAGATGGGTGGTCTGGGGGATGAGAGCGGTTGTGCAGAGAAAATGACAGAAGCAAAAGAAAGAGCTTGAAGGTAGATAAACCAGTGGGGGACGGCAAAAGTTACAGAATTAGGTCAACGGGGTGTCAGCATTTCAGTACAAAAAAATGTACAAATTAGGAGCTTAGAAATAACTTAACTTGATTAAATTAAAAGTCTACAGGATAAGACCACACAGTGAGCGAAAAATAAACCCACGTCTAATTATTGTTCTTTCAAATTATTTAGAGAATCATTATAATTGGAAACAAAAATTCCACGGTGACAGAGGTGACAGGCTGCCACCCTGATACAAAACCACGGGGTTAAATAGAGCTTCTGTTTCCCTCTGCACTCAAAAGCTAATCTGGAGGCCACACCCCCAGCTGCATGGAGTTTATGAACAAAGCAGGAAAAGGCGGAGGATAAAGGCGGTCACTCACTCTACCTGAAGTTAATAAAGAATAAGGAGCGGACCATGTTCCCCCACAGCTACACATCTCATCCCCGCACAAACCATACTACAACTACTTTTCTAAGTTCTTCTTTTTTTTTTTTCACTTAAGCACCTAGTGAAAGCCATGCCATTATCCTGCTTTAAAATGAGCAGCAAACAAAAGAGAAAAAAAAAGCATCCTAAGTATTTTTAAAGGCCTGGGTTATGCCTATTTCTGATTCAACTTCCTTTGCTTTCTTTACACAAATATGAGAATTAAGAAACTTATTTACATGCAAGGATGAAGAAAGGAAACATTGAGAACTTCCTCCTAGGATATAAACAGAAAGAAAACCCCTCCCTCCCTGACTTCCAGAGCCCTAGGAGGACAATGAGCATATTGTGAAATCTGTAGAAAAGTAACTGATGTTTCTGAAACACAGAAAAATCTGCAGGCGTAGACTCTTCATGACTCCATTGTTGCCTAAGTATGTCCTCTAGCACTGGCTGCATGAATAATCACCAGCTTTAAGAAAAATAAGTTAATGGAGTTGTAAATTTTTTTGTAATAAAGGTACCAGAAAGCCTACAGCTATGTGGTTGGAAAAGCTTCAATGAAGCCTTTTTGCAGATTTTTTCCTACCCAGAGCCCCTCTGAGTCTAAAATCGGTCATTTGCTGAACAGAACCAGGGGAGGATAGTTGACAAGCTGTCTCCAGAAGGAGTCTGTCTCTAAGCTCGAAGGCCACCACGTACAAACACTTTTCAAAGAGTCAACAACTGTCAGTACTTTTCTCAAAAGGCCAGCTAAACTCAAGAGCCCCAGGGTTCAGGGCTCCTGACCAATCCCACTGGTGCCCAGAGAATTGGAGTCTATACCAAATGCTTTGCCTCTCATGGTGTTCCCAGAGTCTGGCTGAGAAGAAAAAAAGAAAATGCATCAAAAAACTTGAAATTCCTCAAGGACTAAGGCTGCCTTTGGGGTAGGAAGGAAGGAGCAGACTGACGGAAGAATTTCAACCTGGTTCTGTACAAATAAATCCCATCAAGGGGAGGAGAGGGGTGGAGAGGGGTGGGGAGGAGAAGGGTGGAGAGGAGTGGAGAGGGCAGGGGAGGGGAGGGAAAGACAGAAACATGGCTTGAAAACACAGAAGTAAGGAAGATGGCAATACCCTTTAGAAGGTTGTGGTACAGGACTCAGGTCCTACCCTCTTCTTTCTCCTTTTTGTCCTAGCCTACGACCCCAACCCAACCATGCAGAAGACTTTGAAATTGGCATGAGTGATTGTTGGGATGGGGACGCTTTTTCTTTGACTGGTCAGACAAATTAATAAGAAAAAAAAATCTTAGACCTGCACCAGAGTTCACTTGGGAACACTGTCAAGGCTTCCTAGTGGGAAAAAGCACCCATAAAGTCAGCCAACAGACCCAGAACTAGAGAAAAAAAAAGTTTTCTCGGCAGCTTTCCTGAAATGCTCTAGAATGTGGCCATATGTTGGTTATAGATGGTCTTTATATTCTGTTTTGATTTTTGCTGTGGGTCTTGATTTCTGCTGTTGTTTACAAATCCTGGGGGGTGGAACCCAGGGTCTTGCCCATGCTAGGGAGGCTAGGGAGGCATTTTACTACTAAGCTGTATCCCCAGACTATAAATTTTTGGAAGTTATTTACAAGTTGACTAATTTGGCTATTCTTCAAAAAAGATTTTCACAAAGTTTTGGATAAACATATTCAATCATTATATAAACATAACCCAGTTACAGAGGGGAAAAAGTGAGTATGCCTTTTAAAAAGGTGTGTGTGTGTGTGTGTGTGTGTGTGTGTGTGTGTGGTGTGTGTGTATGTGTGTGTGTGGTGTGTATGTTGTGTGTGTGCGTGCGTGTGCTGGCTGGGGAGGTAGCTGTGTGTAAGCCCACATGCATGAGGTTGCCTGAAGCCTAGAGGAGGATGTTGGATCCCTTGGAGCTGGAGTTACAGGCAGCTGTGAACAGCCCAAGCAGCAAGTGCTCTTAACTGCTAAGCCATCTCTCCACCTACTCTGGGTGGGCATTTTAGTATTTACTTTCTGATTATGTTCAGTGGAGCACGCAGTGAAGAAGGATGGAGTTCATCCTCTCCCCCTCCCACAGCAGGCACCCTGGAGAAGCTCTAAGAGTTGTGTCTGCTCTGAGCCCCTCTCCAGCACTGTCTTGGGAAACAGGAACCATCAGACCCACGGGAGCAGCAACAAAGGCTGCGTGAGAATAACGGGGTGCTCCAATTCTCTGTGAAACGAGCGGTGATGAGCATGGATTGCAAATGGATGGAAGCTTTGCCATGGAGAGTAGAGGAAGCCCAGAGTGAATGTGCAAGGAACAGATGAAGTCCTGAGTGGCATGTAATATTGACAAGAATAAATACTTCAGACCCACAGGAATTGTCAAAGCCTTCCCTGGACGGGGCTGGGAGAATTAGCAAAGCCTTCCTCTGGTCCATGTACAAATGTTGACAGAGTATACAGAAAGCGTGGACTGACCACAGCTTCCTCCTCCCAGATGTTTACAGCCTGACACTCAACTCCTGAGGAGACTAGCTCGCCCTTCCCCCTTGTGCTAGACATACTAAATGCACTGGGCTTCCAGATTGTTGCAGCCAGTGCCTCTCTATCGGAGCGCTATTCCAACTTTCCTGTACATGTCTGCCCTTCCTTCATTCTCTTGTCACCCCAGCCTAGATTTCCAGGACCAAGTTGTGCCAGACTGGGTACTTTACACAGAGGGTTTTAGAAACTGCATAAAGGAAAAGCCCAAAAATGGATCACGAGTGACCTGGCTGAGATGGATGAGGAGAGGGCGGGTGCTGCAGGGAGACCTCCAGTCAGATAATTCGTGAGCCTGACTCTGCCTACTTTCCCATCCCATGGAGTCACAGTAGCACAGAGGCAATTTTGATTGACAGGCAGTGCTGCTACTTGCTGGTGTTAAAGTTCATGAGAACTGGAGCAATGTGCTGGGCTCTCAGGAGTGGAGACAGGTGGCATATGTTAATCGTCTCTCAATACCCATATACTAAGGAGGTTACCTGGGAAGTCAGGAAGTTCCTTCCCTGGGTGGCACCTGGAAGGAAGGTTCTACAGTCCCTCCAGAGAGCAAACGGGCTCAGGCTCACAGTTGCTGCACCTAGGAATTGTCCAAGGTGACTTTGTCCCTGTTCTTGAGGACGTGGGTCATAAGGCGAGCTCTGCTTCCATCCCACACAATGGGTTTGCTACCTACCCATCATTTTGTTTTCCTCCCCAACATCGCAAATCACAGGAGTCATTTCTGTTTCTATAAATCACTTAGAACATGCGCTTCTCACCCGATCGGGCTGAGCACAAAGAACCAGGGTGTTCTCAGGCAGTTTAGCCAACAGCCAAGCTCTTGTCATCCAGCCTGCAATACATTTGATAGTGATAGCAAGGAAAAGAGTACTACAGCAAGACCCTCATTGTTCCATAGAGAAACCTTAGAGGTGAATGCTTCTGTTATTATACCAGTGGATTCTGAGTTTCGTTTAAGCAGATAGCTGCTAGATTTGCCGTACCGCGTGGGAATACACACCTCATGGAGAAGATGCACAGGGATGTGTGGGTTAATACATTGCAATGATCAATAAATTGTCTCCCTAGGAGAAAACCCCATTTTTTTTCTTCCCCCTAAATGGCAGCCTCTAACTCGGAACTCCCAGCCGAGTTCACTGGCAGCGACCTTAGTCTCCACTCTAAGTTACTCCTGGTTTCCCCTCACTGGGATTTGCCCAGACTCCAGGTCTCTCTCCAGGAGCTGAGCTCTGGAAGCCACTTTTGAAGAGGACTATCAGTTCCCTCCTGTTATCACTCCCTCAACAGCTGCCTCACTCTGCCTGGCCCCTGGGATCTCTCAGCTTTTCTCGCTCTGTAACAAGTCACTGGAGAGTCTGGGAGTTGTTAAGTCCAGCAGCAATCTTCAGAATGTACCAGGTGCTCATCTCACCCCAGGCGCTAGGCCCATGAGCCCTGCCTAGGCAAATCCTGCATTTTTGTATACTTCTGGTCTCCCTTGGTTCTAGAAATTATTTCCCCTGCAATTCTCCGATTAAGAATATTTCCTTGATGTGCCAAGATAGAAAAGGTTGTTAGATTTAATGTCTTTGTTTAAGGCATTCATTCTTGTGAGACAGGAATAAAATGGAACATTTTTAAAAAAAAAAATCCAAAGCTCCTGGCCTTAAGGGCATGGAGAAAGCGTCCCACACATAGAAATTATGAGCTCTCACTCTGCTCCTGTTTTGTATTCGCAGGCTCTCCGACTTGGCATGAATGAGAATTGAAGTTCCTGCCTTGTCCCCTGAGGTATGTCTTGGCATTTATTTATTTACTTGCTGTGGCTGACAGACATCTTTTTTCCTTCACTTTATGTGTATGAGTGCTCTGCCTGCACGTATACCCAGGCACCCTCTGCCTGTTGTGCTCAAAGCAGCCAGAAAAGGGTGTTAGATGCCTAAAACTGGAGTTACAGACGGTTGCGAACTGCTCTGTGGGTGCTGGGACTCAAACCTGGGTCCTCTGGAAAAGCAGCCAGTTCTCATAACCACTGAGCCACCTCTCCAGCACCTTGACTGACATTTTCATTAAAAAACTTCTTACTAGGACTTATGTTTTGTGCCATTTAAAGCAAGCCTCCTTAAACTCTTTCTACTCCTGACTCTTTTACACTTTAGTTTCATGCAACCCAAGAGCGGTGGTTTGAGGAGAAATGTCCACCACCGGCTCATATGTTAAAATGCTTGGTCATTAGGGAGTGGCAGGTTTTGACAGGGATTAGGAGGAAGTTTGTCACTGGGGGTAGACGTTGGGGTTTCAAATGTTCAAGCCCGACCCAGTGTCCCTCTCTCCTTGCTGCCTGTGGATCCCAATGTGGAACACTCAGCTACCTGTCCAGCACCATGTCTGCCTATAGGTTGTCATGTTTCCTGTCATGCTGATAATGACTAGACCTTTAAATGTGAGCCAGCCCCAATTAAGTGCTGTCTTTTATAAGAGCTGCTGTGTTGTCTTTTCACAGCAATAGAATACTAACGAAGATATCATGTATGTGAGTAATAACAGACATGCAAATCAATCACTTCCCAAAAATTAGCCTTAAGTTCATTTTAAAACAATTCCATAGCATACATATGATTTTCTGCCTATTAAGAAAGATAAAAGGAAATTTGCATGCAATAAATATATGAAAAAATCATTTAATAAATAAATGCTTGTTTATTTTTACAGAAATAATTAAACTCAGCATATTTATTCGATATTATAAAATGAAGAGCATCCTCGAGCATCCTCTCCATATTCTGTGGTTAACTGATATTTTGATCCTATAATTGCCAATGTTGAGAAGTCGTCTTTGCATAAATGTGTTGCACAAAGTGGCAGAAATATATTTACGACCACTTCCTAAATTGTTAGAAATGCATGAATGAGAATTGAAGCTCCCAGGAAAAATTCAGATAGCATTTTTCGTTTTGTTTTAATGTAATTCAAGTCAGCAACCCTAACTGAACATTTTTTTAAATCAAACATTCTATACTAATATAATCCAAAGATGCACTAATTTGACACTAACATGTTAAGGCATCAGTCCCAGTGTGCAAGTCTTGAAAACATTGGTCAGCATTGCTTGGTATGGTTCCACGAGCAGTGGAGAGTATTCATGTTGGGTATTCAGAACCAAGGCTGTAGTGAACTTTCATGGTGTAAAATGGGTGGGCCCCACCAGAAATACATCAGATTTATCCTGGGTTGATTTTGAATTTGTTTGTTCGCTGCACATTCAGCAACCTTTTATTACTACCAACGATTTTACCCCGTGTGCTTTCAGTTGCATGACCACAAATGGAGTGGCAACCCCCAGTGTGCAAAACTGGACCTTCAAGGGGATGGAAAGAAATTTCTAAAAAATAAAATCAGCATAAACTAAAGAAATACTGAACATAGAAAACTTGTGCAAAGCTGTTGCTTATGATGAAGTGTTTCCATCCTTACAACTTAATGATCTGCTCGTAATTCTAGACATAAAACACAGGCTTACAACGCTGATTCAAAGCTGGCCAGTGGCAAGAGACTTCTGCAAACAATTAAGAGAGGAAATTGGGAGATCAAAGATGAGGAGGGAAACGTGTGGCAGTGGTATGCTTGTGAAGGTGGTCTTCCGAGTGGAGAGAGGGTGAGATGTCCTACTATACAGGGTAGGAAGGAACAAAGATGGAAAGTCAGAGAAACTGCTCTGGGAATTCCCACCCCAAGCCCAGCTGCCCTAATAAACACAACAAGCGGCATAGGAAGGAACAAACCCTCATTTCAGTTCAGATAAAGGGAGGTGGGACTAAACAGTCAGCATTGCTGCAGACACACAGTACAGGAAACCTGAAACTCGTGGGAGAGCCCCGATAGGAAAGCTGGATGCAACATGGGAGGAGCCCAGACAGGAAAACCAGATGCATCATGGGAGGAGGCCAGACTGGAAAGCCAGATGAACCATGGGAGAATCCCAGACAGGAAAGCTAGGTACATGTCTTAGTATTCCAAATAGAACTAATTGTGAGAGCATCACATCTAAAAAGATTGAACCAAGCTAAATGAAATATTCATTGTGTGTTTGTTTTGAATAGATAGCTTTGTAACTAGTACATTAAAATGCCTCCACCACTGTTTTGCAATTCTGCTCAGAAAAAAAAGATTCATGGAAAAAGATTTGGTATTTCCAAGAAAGAAAGAACATAAGCAATTAGAGTAATATTAGTTATACAGCTTTATTGTGGAATAAATTAAAAATTGCTTAATTTTTAAAACAAATTCTTATAATTCTATACTGTTTTAAGATAACGTAACTTTTGAAATTATCAAATAAGATAACAAAATTTGAAATAATGTTTACCTATGGTAAATGTTGTAGTTTAAAAGCATCTGAACTATTTTTTCAAAATTACTTCATTGCTACTACACAAGAATAAATCAAACCACAAGAACATATATACTTTTTCCATTTCCTTCTAGCTTGCTTTAAATAAATACGTTAAAGAATTTGGAGCTAAAGAGATGGCTCAGTGGTTAGGAATAAAGTTCGGTTCCCAGAACCCACATCAGCGGGTTCATAACTGTCTTTGACTCCAGGGGATCTGACACCCTCTTCTGGTCTCCAGAAGCACCTGCACCCACACGCACACATCCACAGCACAAGTGCGCACGTGTGCAGACACACACACACATACACACACACACACTACTGAAAAATAAGACTTTTCTAAAACAGAGATAGATTTAAGAAATGCAAATGCATATGTAAACTAAGAGAGGACAATTCATAAACTCATAATGAGACTGGCACACGCTTCCCCCAAAGAACTTCAAATTCATGCAAACATTGGGCATCTCAATTGGATCATGAACATATGAATGTTTTTGCACAAACACATCAGCAAACCTGCCACACTGTTAGGACACATCATGAAAATTTAGGAGAAAATGTGGAGTTTGGAGTCCAGATTCCCAGATCAGTGATTGGGTAACCTCTCTGGAAGTAGAGAGACATCGGTTGCAATAGCCCTGAGTTCAGATTACAACTTGTTCCTTCTCATTCAAGAATGGTCTTAAATCTGAGATCTATCTGAGGTCACTTATGATAGCATCTAGCATGAGCTGTGTTTTGTGGGGGCTGTTGTTGTTGTTTGCTTTGTTTAAGACAAGGGCAAAGAACAGCTCTGGTAACCCAGGGTAGAAACCGGGCATCTCATGGCAAATCAATAAGGAGGAGGTGGCGCTAGGAATCAGTGAAGACTTGAAGGGAGGATTCTGAACAGCAGCACAGCACCAAGGATTCTGGAGGGCTATTTCTGAGCTAAGTGAAGGCAACCACGGGGTCATTGCTTCATTTCTTAAGCAGCTGACTTTGGTTTGAGTCTTCTGAACAGAGCATGTCAGAGTCACTCACGGTGAAACTCAACTGGAGCAGAGGGGAAGGCTGAGTCTCTGAGAGCGTTATACATACTTGAATGATTTCAAGAATCATTAACTTGCCTATAAAATGAGCCTCCGTATTAAATATGTGCCTGGAAGCAATGTGTGGGACCAAATGCCGATGTAATCTAATGAACTCAAGTTACACAAGAAAATACCCTTCGTGATTCTTCTCCATTTATGTGTTCAAACACTCAAGAGAGGCTTGCAGGGGGGCCTGTGGATGCCAGGGAAGGCACATTCTACAAACGAGGGAAGACTTTGTTCCCTGTTCCTTTTCATTCAGAGCCTTTCATGAACTGTGAATTCCCTCTAAGAGCACCTATCAGCATGAATAAACTGATAAAAGCAAACGCGCGAAATGCCTTTCACTTAGCTAACAGGCATGACTCCAGACCCTGGAGCTCCCACTGCTTTTATCTGAAACCCTACCCCACCATGAGAGTAAACAGGACTTGACAGGAAGGCCCAGTCCTGGAAGTTACAAGATCCTTGGACTATTGTGGAGCCATGGTTAATGGCCAGCTTTGTCAGGCATAATCCATTCCCGTGCAGTCTCTTGGATCACCCTGTGACTGTGGTACTCCATTTTACACAAAAAAAGTCAGATTAATAAATCCACTCGGCCTTCCCAGAGCGTCCATTTATACACTGGTGCCTTCAGCAACTGCCACCCAGGGAAACACTAGGGTGACAAAGCGAGAGTCCACACCTCCAAAGACCAGTAAAGATGTCAATGCCAGCAGCCAAGTTTATAAAAATAAGGAGGGAGAGTGATAGAGCTGTGGAGTATTGATTAACTCACGGCACCTTGGTATCTCAATCACTGAGAGCAAAGGCAAGACCTTGAAGTAGACCAGCACAGGGCTTCTCAGCGGGCATATCTGGAAGCCCGAGCACACAGAACACATTCTCCCAAGTATAACTGTACTCCCTTCCTAACTGTCACCTGTGTATTCCGAAGAAAGCTTCCAAAATGTCAAAGGATCTGTTCCAAAAATAAATTAGAAACTAGTAGTCAAGAACAAGTCCATTGGAATCCACATACGTGTCAGAATCTTGATTTTAAAAAGAAAAAAAAAAAGCAATGAAAAAAACGATGCTGAGAATTCAGCAATAATGAGCATGCATGCTGGCACATCACCTGTGGGCTCACCTGTGGGCATAGCTGGGGATGACCTCCTGCCTCTATTTCCTGAGCATGGGGAGCACGGCTGTTCACCACCATTCCCTGGGCACTGGGAACTAAACACAGTGCTTTGGGCATGGCTGGCAGGCCTCCTTCCACTGAGTTACATCCCCAGTTCCTTAGATCTTCAAATAAGGCAAGGATCAGAGAAATTACT